AGTTGAGGTGTAAAGGCACTCTACAACTTTATTGAATATACACGAAACTTTCTCTCTCTCTTCTCTGTCTTCTCTGTAGAATTTCTTTCTTTGTTCTTATTTGTAAAAATATAAAGCAGAAATACTATCCTAACAGATAACAAATCTTTGTAACGCACTCGAATAGCATATGTCTAGTCTCATGACAATACATGCACTCTTTCTTAAATGAAGGTTGTGGATGAGTTACCATGATAGTTTTTGTACATTAAGTTTGAAAAGTGGCAAAACGGGCTTCTTTGAAAAAGAGTTCAATGCTGACACTATCAAGAATAAGCAAAGGGTGTCGACAGAGCAGAGATGCACGAACTAGTTCAAAAGTATCATTAACTTAAAAACTCTATCAAATACTAATTTTCATTGTAATTTGAAAATTTATTACATCACTAGTGTATGTATGAGATGGTTCTGATTGAGTTGATTCGAAAGATACTTTATCCAAGGAAGGAAGTTATGGACTGATTGGCCAATTGATTGACGTAGTTAATGTGAACGTTTTTAAACCCAACCTAGGCCTTGACCTGGGCAAGGGGTTGGTCCATGGGTCGAGCGGTCCAATCGATTCAATTGGTCAGTCGGATTGATGACGCAACATATCCAGCTAGTTTGAAACTTAACAAACATACCCTTAAGAAATTCCATTAGTCCCTACAGGTTTTTAAACGTTTTTAAACCCAACCTAGGCCTTGACCTGGGCAAGGGGTTGGTCCATGGGTCGAGCGTCCAATCGATTCAATTGGTCAGTCGGATTGATGACGCAACATATCCAGCTAGTTTGAAACTTAACAAACATACCCTTAAGAAATTCCATCAGTCCCTACAGGTTTGAAATCTAGCAAACACACTCTTACAATCTGGCCAAGAAACCCTAGCTGTCGCAACTGCAATCCATCCCAGATTAACCTAATGCTACAAAAACCACCACCAAACTACCACGAAAACCTTAATACACCACAAAAGAACACTATCTGCCACAACAAAATTTTATTAATCCATGTCTCAAATGCTAACAAAATCAAACTCACTAATCACTCAGAGGCCGAGTGAAGTGCGACCGACAATAGACGGGTGGACGACAGAGTTGTAGAGCGACCTAAGTAGGTCAATCGAAGGATGCATAGAGCAAAGAATGAAGATTGAAGAATTAGAATTAGAATAGGGATTTGTTTTAAGGGATTTTAGTGACCCAGTTTAGCCATTGGTCTGGTTGAACCGACAATTTGATACTATTATGTCGATTCAAACCTGCGTCAATGGCTGAAACCGGGTTTAGGGTGTCCTTGGACCTGAGAAAGGGTTGGTTCCTCTTCGAACCGGCCAGTCCGGTCCGGGTTGTAAAACCTTGGTTGATCTACATTTAACTTCTTCATTTTTTTTCTTTTTTTTCCTTTTAACAAGGTTAGGACCAAACTGAAAGAAAGCAGAACTTGGAATGTTAAACAAGAGTACTAAATAGATATGAACTAAACTTAAATGTGAAACTATAGGGACTGAAATAAACATAGTAACACTATAAAGACTGAAGTGAAATTTGGAAAAACCTATTGTGTTTATGCACTATCACAGCGAGTGGGGCACGTGAGACTTCTTTGGATTATGAAAAGTGTCACGGTTGGCTGGATCTGAATCTTCAGAGGCCAAATTACAGATTTTCGATGGTATTGTGACCCAAGAATGGACAAATTGGTCGGAAAAAAAGTGAAGTTCTTCTCGAAGTATAATTGTGGTGAAGTAAACGATGGTTTTTGTTGATTTTTGGGACTCTTTAACGCTCCTGGGCCATAGATCAGTTGATGAAGGGAATGTACTTGCCAATGGTGAAGTCTTCCTCGCCACTTATGTATCATGTATGACAGATATGAGATTCCAATGAGACTTAGTCCATATGAATATGAATTTTGTAATCTAATATATTTTTAATCTACAGTGATATGCTTTTTATACATGTTGATTATGCCTTTATTTATGCTAAAATAATGTACAGATATATATAAAATCACACATAAAATGAACCTATATATTTTGTGATATCATCATACGAATATACTGGTTTTATGCTCTTAAAAGAAAAATGAAAATAAAAGTAGTATTAAAAAAATTCTTAAAAACTTTTTAATAGATTCTTAACAAAATCAGCATTATGGTGGTTTACGAACATTACAAGTGAGTTTGATTAAAATGGAATAGCCACCATTGAGTAATTATTTTAGAAACATAAGGGTAGCATGAAATTCTTATTCTAATTATTGCTCTTATTTTTGTATTGGGATTGCCGTGAGAGAAAATTTCCATAATTTCTTCAAAATGGATTAATTAAAAATTAGGATAATTTTTGTAAAAATAACCATATTAATTTTTTCTAAAAAGGTTAAGTTTCAAAAATCCTTATAAAAATTTTCAAATTATAGGTTGGACTTATGAAGATATCATTCGCCAAATTCTAAATTAATACATTTGTGACCACACTAGATTACACCACCTAGCTAGCATTATTACCTAAAGTTTTGATAGAAGGCAAGTTTATTTGCTCATTTTCTAATGTTTGAATAAATTTGCAAAAAGGAAAAAAAAAAATAATAATAATTAAAGAGTGATATTTTCTTAACAATTATTTTTTAATTTGACTTTAAAAAAAAAAAAAAGAAAAATTCTCTTATGCTTAAGCTTAGAATAACATTAATCTTCAAAACGTCACATTCGAGTGATATATTCTTTTAATTAAGCTGCATTTGGTTCTGACAATGTTTTATTACTAAAAAGATAGAATTACCAGTGAGATAAATAACTTTAAGGGGGCATTTGGTTCAGAGAATGTTGGATTATTGGAAAGTTAGATTACCTTAAAGATTACTGGGAATCTTTAAGAAAATGTGTTTAGTTAATTGGTGGGTATGTTATATTAATATGTTTGGTTGGGAGGAATAAATTGGTGGGTATGTTATTTAAATTACTGAATTGTCCTCTAATTAAATATTATTATTATATTATTTTTTAATATTGATTATTATAATCCCCTTGCATTTAAAAACTTAGCAAAAACAACCTCATAATAAAAGTTTGGAAAATCAACAAAGCACCCCTACTAACCCAGCCATTGCCGACCGCCGGCAACAATTGCAGGCCGTCAACAGCCGATAACCTAACGGCGCACGGAAGGCAATAAATGGCCTCTGTGAGCCGTTTGTCCATTTCTGGCTGGAAATGGCCAGACGTGGTAGATATGGCTGTCGACGACTAGATCGATGACGGATATGGCCTTTGACGGCCAGATCTGGCATGATCTGTCCATTTTCGGCCAGATATCTAGCCGGAAATGGCCATATTAGCGCACGACGACCATTTTGGCCTTCTGTGCGCCGTTCCGGCGGCTGGCCGCGACAACGGTTGCCGGCGGCAAGTGGGTGGGGGTGGTGGTTTGGGTTGGCTGCAATTTGTTTTTTGTCCAAAAAGTTAATTAATTGGGGTAAAATAGTAATAGCTATATTCATGTAAATAAATTTAAAAATAAGGGTATTATTATACTAAAATTTTATTAATAAGGGATAAAATTGTAACAAAAAAAAAAAAAAAAAAGATAACCCTTGCAATCTTATAATACCTAAGAAAATTGAGATAATCAGATTACCTCCAATATTACCAATAGTAACCACTATTGGTATTTGAAGATTACCAGTATCTTATATTATTTGATAACCAAACATGGTATTCAAATAATATAAGATGACTTAACCTAATAATCCCATATAACTCCCAACCAAACGCCCCCTAAGCAAAATAGGTATAAATTATTATTGTGTTTGGTTCGTTTGGGCTATATAAATAATTAATTTGTATTATTGGCAGTAATTACAACTATTTTTGTTTAAATAGTTTGTATAAATAATTAATTAGTTAACGAGGTTAAATAAATTATTCAACAAGTTTGTTATTTGACATTAATAGGAGGGCATATGGATCCGAAATTTTTATTAAGGATAAAATTAGAACACAAATATGATTACTACGGAAAGATTACCAGAATATTTTATTACCAGTTGAACCAAATAAGATAATGACTAGATTAAAAGACGTATTACCAGAGTAATTTTCCAAAAGTCCTAACCAAACGCAGCTTAAAAGTAATATAATTCACATGTGCCTTGAAAATAATAACATTACCACTTGGTTTACAATAAAAGATGACTATTTAAACTCAACCACCAACCCTCTTAATATTTGATCAAGTTGGTTGATACAAAATTAATCTTTGGGCTCTAATATTAAAACGACGTCGGAACCGTTCATATCATACTTGTCATTCTCGTGTTTTTATATATGAAGCAAGCAACATTAATTTCATCAATTTTCTTATGATAAATGATCCCCATGATAATTTAACCAAAAATATTTAAATATGTAGCTCTAAAGAAATTATCATAAATCGGTGAAAAAAGCGAAGCACTAAAGAGAATAAATAAAGATATGAAAAGTAACATTTTTAAGGTTAAAAAAAAAAAAGAAAAAAGAAAAAGAAAAAAGAAAAAGCATTATTAAATTATATGGGTAGTCCCGTTACATTATATGTAACTCTTTCTAAATGATATATTGATGTATACTTTATTGTATACACGAGTTGATGCCATAAATTTTATAATAATGTTACTGAGATTAATCCTTCACTAGGACACAAAATTTAGGATAAAAAACGATGTGTAAATGATATATGATATTATAAAGAATGTATTTTATAACTAGAAATTTTGAATAAAATTTTGATATGACATTGGCATTGCTGATGTAAAATAGTAGTCAAAATGGGCCAAAAGAGCCCATGGAATATCTAAAACGAAGAGTAATGGATCCAAAAGACCCACAAAGTAGTTTGTTAGAGGGAGGGTTATTTTAGTCATTCCCTTGATTTTAATTAAATTACGGATTCTGCCACTTGCGCCTTCCTGTTAGTCTCTCTACTCACAGTTTTGGTTAGTTTTGTATCGCCTCCCACTTCCAAGTTTCACACCAAACAGAAACCCTCCCTTCATTTTTTTTTTCTAAATCAATAATCCCCAAATTAAACCTTAATTTCTCCGAATCGGATCCCTCCATTTCACTTCGCAATTCACAATGCCTCTCATCTAGTTTTCACATATATGGTGGGGTTTTTTTTTTTTTTTCCAGTTTTATTTCATTGTAAACCCTAAATGTTTTAGTTTTACTATCGATTCATGTATTTCTTGTAGGTTTTTTGGTTGATTTGATCGGAGAGGCATGAAGCGAGAGCTGGATAGTGGATTTGGGGCTGAGTCTGAACCGGCGGGTTTAGTCGATGGGACTGAATCGCAGTCTCTGACTTGGGATGTGGCTCAACCGAGTTCCCATGTTGTGAAGGGTGTTGGTGAGGGTGAGAGATTTAGAGTTAATAAGGTGAATGGTTTTATTGTTTATACTCGTGTGAAAAAGTTTCGTAGCAGTGGTTCTGGTGAATTGTTGGAGAATAATGTTAATAGTCAGAGAATTAAGGGCTTTCAGGAGCTCAAAATTGCTATGGATCAAAGTAATTTAGCGGTGAAAAATGTAATTGATGAGAGTAGGGTAGTTGAAACTGTAATTGAAGAAAATTCTGTGGTAAAAAATTTAATTGAAGAGAGTCAAGTAGTTGACACAGTAAATGGTTTCGACGGGCCTATCTGTAAGGAAGAACCAATTAGTGAAGTAGAGTGTAAGGGAGAGTGCAGTAGGGGGACTCAGTTTACAGTAAGTGACAGCAGTGGTGTGAGGAATGGTTTGAAAAAGAAGGCTAAGAAGTGGCTTATGCAATCAGAGCTGAAGCCGAAGGTGGAGACTGTTGAGGTTCTGGTTACTCAATCAGAAGGCTTCCAAAATGGAACAATGTCCTTAATAGAAGTTGAGCCAATAGCTGAAGGAAGTGCATTGTCAAGTCCCAAAAAGAACTTGGAACTGAAAATGTCTAAGAAGATTGCACTGAATAAGAAGCCAATGACAGTCACGGAGCTTTTCGAGACTGGTTTGCTTGATGGGGTAACAGTTGTCTATATGGGTGGTATTAAGGTTGGTGTTTGATTTCCGGATTATTTTCAGTCTGTTTACAGTTATTTCAGTATAATGTATAGCGTAAGGCTTAATGTTGGTCATACACTAGTTTCAGGCATCTGGTCTTCGAGGCACGATCAGAGATGGCGGGATTCTATGTTCATGTTCTTTGTGCAATGGATGCAGAGTGAGTATTGGTTTTTCTGTAATGTTGTTTAGCAAGCAAGTTTTCATGATTTGATTAAGGCCTTAATTTACTGCTTTCTCCCTTGTTAACATAGGTCATTCCACCATCCAAATTTGAGATTCATGCTTGTAAACAGTATAGACGTGCTTCACAATATATTTGCTTTGAGAATGGGAAAAGCCTACTTGAGGTGTTGAGGGCATGCAGAAGCGTTCCTCTGCCCATGCTAGAAGCAACTCTTCAAAGTGCTCTTAGTTCTTCGCCTGAAGAAAAGTCATTCTCCTGTGTGAGATGCAAGGGTAAGTGTCCTTTTTTTCCCCCTTTATAAACAATTTATCTATCAAAACAACAAATTGCTCTGTGGCAAGTGCGTACCAATTGTGATAATGTTAGAGTTGATTGTTTGATGTGTTGGTTGCTCATTGATTTCTAGGAACCTTTCCTATAACCTGTGTTGGGAAAATAGGACCTGGGCCTCTATGCAATGCATGTGCGAAGTCAAAAAAAACTCAAGCCAGCGTGACTTATGTAACTGGTAGAAGAGCGAGGTATGTTATCTTTAAGAGTTACCTTGTGCAGCTTTGTAGTTGAAGTCTCATCTGTTATGATTTGTAGGACACTATTTCTTTTGAAAAAGAGGGGTTTTCAGACACTTCTAGGACTTGAGTATCATGTCCATTCGAGTCCAATGATCAATTTATGTTATAAAAGAGTACACTTTAATGTTATTAGTTAAAAGTGCAGAATTGTTAGGTTTCAATGTCTTATTGTCTGTAAACTGGTTCATAATTGTCCTGTTGTCTTATCAAATTAAACAACCTTTATTTACCTATGCCTAATCCATCTACCCCCAATCTTTTTTTCTTCTTTTTTTATGTCAGGATTTGGTATCTTACTTAATGGGTTTGATTCTAGTACACTGAGGTGTGCCAATTTTTTATTTTTGAAAATTTACTAGTGTTGTTTGAGGTTTGAATTTTAGTACTACTAGAACAGTGTAATTTTCCCTTTAAGTAGGTGTTACAATGTTCGTTCTTAGCATCCCTTCTAGTTGGATTGACTTAAAGACGAAGTGTTATATTTGATTCCATCAGCAATTTTCTTTGGGAGCACTGTTTTTCTCCCTTAAATTGGGAAGTGAAAAGATATGAGTGGGACTGGTTTGTTGGATAAGTGGATTTATTTTGTTTAACTGAAACCTCTATCTGGTGCTTTCTAGCTAGGACACAGCAGGAAGTTTTGAGACTGTTATTTTTTTGCTTTTCCTTCAGGTTTGAAGTGTGTCATATATATGCACACATACAAATATGTGTAATATTTAAAATTGATAGAAGTACTGCAGCATGGTGGGCTGTTTTAGCTTTAAAGGACCAAGATGAGAAGTTGATTTGATATTATTTTTTTTTATCTGAAATAAAAAGATCTAAGACTGTGTCAGAATCCTTTAGGAGAAAAGGGTGAAACTTGTTCAAATGTTTACAAATAACATAAATTTTCTATTAGACATTTCTCACTTAGCTTGCAAGTACAAGCAACTTTTCCAACTGTTCTTAGTTAGTTATGCATTGAGATTTAAATCCCTAGGGGTGGGGCAAATGGTATGACCTTCATTTTTGATCAAGAGGTCAGAGGCTCAGATCCCATAGGGCCAGCCAACTACATGGGATGTTCCTAACTACTTATGTGTGGAGGGTCTGGCAGTGACTACCACTGTTGACCATAATGTCCATACAGAGGGATTTTAGGTTGACAAAGAAAAACGAAGGTTTGCATTAAGGTTTGAAGCATCTTTATAAGAATTCTATATACGAAAGTACTATCCAAAATCTTTATTGTTCTAAAGCTGTAATTGTACCACAGTCTAGAACCAAAGTGTTGTATCCTGGTAGTCTGCTGGCTGAAAGGTTCCAATCAATTTTTCTTAATGAGTTATGTTTGATCATTAATCATTAAGTTTTTTAGATGGTGATAATCTTTTGGGGGAAGAGGGAACAAACTTGTTCTTTTCCTTAGATATAACATGTCTTTGGACTATGATGACACATACCCAGAATATCTTGGAAAATCCTTGGAACTTACTCATTCTATTTTTGCAGCATGTGCTTCACTCAATCCACTGATACACTATAAATTGACCGCAATAAGTAGTTCAAGCTTTCCAAAAATTATCTTGATTTGGTGATTAGCTTTCATTTGTCAGTGCTTTCTTGGAACAATATACTTTTTACAGAATTTCTGCTGTATAGAACTTTGATTTGATTAACATCTATTGTTGAAAAGTCATTGAAGCAGTCTAATTCTTGTAATGGTTATTTGCATGAGAGACCTATATAATTGGTTTGATTTGTGCAATGTTTAAGTGGAGAAAGTTTATTTTTCTCTAAGCCGGAGTTCATTTTTTCATATTATAATGGGCCAAATGGAATATATACATCTTTTAATTAAAAAAAGAAAGAATAAATCAATAAGTCAAGATGAATTTGAGCAACACAGATGTAATTGTGAATTTGTCGGCTTGAGTTGCATTTTCTTGCTTTGACTTGATACAATGTGATGACACAAACTATAGGAGCACTGATTCTGGATTTTCAAGTCTATGAAACCAAATTGAGGGTTGCAGGATATATCCAAAGTGAACATTTCCTTATTCTAGTTTATAGTTAACATTATTAGTATCTGAGGAGCCTTTTTCCATATGCATCCACTTTCAGGTCATCAGAACCAGATTTGGTCTCAAACTCTCCACCAAGTGCTTCAGTGTGTATCACTTCACAGAATAAGCGTCAAAGGAAGAAATCAAGAAAGTCAGTATCCATTATTTCTTTTTGTCAGCCTTTTTTGTTGGGTTTGGCATATTTCATGTTCTGAAAAATTTCCCTTCAATTTCTGGCAAGTAAAAGATATGTTTAGTTTTTTGAAGATGTAGGTAACACAATCTTCATAATAATGCATGATTTCAGATTGTTGGAAGCAGATTTGTACTCGAAGTCATCCTCCAAAAGTGCTTCAATGTCTAAGCTTTTAAAAAATAAGAGTCCATGGGAGATAACAAGAAAGTTGGTACCCTTTCATGTCCTGTTGGTTTAATTTTTTGGTTTTGGCATGTCTTTTGTTTAAGATTTTGGCTTCCTTCTCTTGCAATTAACTAATTCCTTTCATTCTTCTATTGAGAAACTTAATGGATGACACTAGAAATTAATTTGGATAACTATTGTTTATTATTTGTTTTAGTTGCAGCTCAGTATTAAATCGGTGGATTTTGTTTGTGTTCTTATGTAGTTTATTGTATCTGCATTGATTTCAGGTCATCAAGACCAGGTTTGATCACAAAGTCATCCATAAGTGCTTCAGTACATGTATCCCCACAGAATAAGCGTCAGTGGAAGATAACGAAAAAGTTTGTATCTTTTTCATGTTGATTTTTTCACTCAAGTTTTTTCCTTTTAATTTTTAACTGTCAAATGATATTTTTTTGTTCTGAAATTGCATGGAGTATTTAAGGATGTAAAATAACTACTATTTTATTCTAGTAGTTTTCTGTCATTGCAGAGGTTTTATCTATATATGTATTCCCTTTTTCCTTTATATGGTTCTTCACTTTTTCAGGTCAAAAAAATCAATTCTGATCTCAAGTCCCTTTGAAAGTCCTTTAGTGCCCACTTCTTTCCCAGATAAGAGTCAATGGAAGATAACAAAGTTCGTATCATTTTTATTATATCTCTGGTTTAAAGTTCTGCTTTCCATTATTGGCAAATAATATCTTTTATTATTTGGATTTTTATCATCTTCAGAGACCAGAGGTTGCATAAATTGGTTTTTGAGGATAGTGGATTGCCTGATGGAACTGAAGTAGGGTATTATGCGCGTGGACAGGTTGAGCAAAGATCATGCATGCTTTTCTATTTTTGTTTCTTAATTTTCAGTAATTGATTGACTCTTGTGGACAGAAATTGCTTGAGGGTTATAAGAATGGCTCTGCAATAATTTGCCGTTGCTGCAATTGTGAGGTGCTTTCTGTTGCTTATGGAATTTCATATTGCCCAAATCTTCCATTACAGATATTGACTTAATTTAAATTTTAACATGTAGGTCAGCCCCTCACAATTTGAAGCTCATGCAGGTTGGGCTTCTCGCAAAAAACCGTAAGTGTTTGTGAAGTTTTGTAACTTTACAGATCACCCTGTATTTTGTAAATATATTTCAATTTTATGACTCTTTTTTTTTTTTTTTTTTTTTTTTTTTTTTTTTTGTGTTTTTCTTGGCAGTTATGCATATATTTACACGTCTAATGGGGTCTCTCCCATGAATTGGCTATATCCCTTTCAAAAGGTCGTAAGTTTTCTTCCAAGGATAATGATGACCTGTGCACCATTTGTGCAGATGGTGGGAATCTTTTGCTTTGTGATGGATGCCCCAGGGCATTTCATAAAGGTAAAATCCAAATTCCTTTGGTTTAAATTGAATGGATATTTGCTTACATTTTAGTTAACCTTTCCTTTTAACATAAGTTCAGGTCCTTTTTTTCAGCTAGTTTATACCTTATATGTGAGAAACCTTTTTTCAACAATTTTAAGTAAAACATTGTTTATTTTCCTTCCCATCCTAGGTTTATGATTGAAGTTTACGTCATTGGGTTCATGTTTAGCAAGTAAAATTCTATTTGCCGTCACCACAATGTTGGCATTTTTTATACTAAAGTTTTTGTTCAATAAAAGTTTTTTTGAGCAACTTATGGGGTTTTATGAGCAAATCAATTGGTGGGATACTGTTATTGCCATATATAGGGTTGGGATACTGTGAATTATTTTTTTTACTTTTAACTTTTGACATCACTCAATAGTCCACCATTTAATGCAATCCAATGGTTGAAAGTGTTATTGAGTTGGCATTGAAATAAATACGTCTAAACTTCCTTTTTTGCAATCATTAGATTGAATTGAATGGAGGGTTATTATTATTATTATATTATATATATATATACACGTTTCTTTCATGTGTTTAAATGATCAGTTTGCCCCTTATACTGTTATGGCACTTTAATTTTGAGAAAGACAATTATGAATTTTCTCAGTTTTGTGTATTTAATATTTCTTCAAGTATATTTTGATTTTATTTTGTGCATCTGGTATCTAATGATCTGTGGCATTCAGAAGACTATTAGTTGTCTTACTAGATACAAATCTTCCTGAGTTTATCTAATGAGCAATTTTATTGTTTCATGCAGAATGTGCATCTCTATCAAGTATTCCTCAAGGTGATTGGTACTGCAACTATTGCCAGAAATCATTTGAGAGAGAAAAGTTTGTGGCACATAATGCCAATGCTGTTGCAGCTGGAAGGATTTCTGGAATTGATCCTATAGATCAGATTACCAAGAGATGCATTCGAATTGTCAAAAACGTAGAAGCAGAACTTAGTGGATGTGTGCTATGCAGGTGGACACTTTCTGCTAGGCTGAATTTTAGTAAAGCTTTTTTACTGTGTCATGACTTTGTTATGTAGTTTATACCATGTTTCTGTAAAAATTTTGTTCTACCTTACAAATTTGTTTTCTTTTTCAATTAATTGCTTTTTTATTTAGCTGTAGCTTAAATTATTTGTATCTCTTTGTATACAGAGCTTGTGATTTTAGCAGATCAGGATTTGGTCCACGCACAATTTTACTTTGTGATCAGGTATTCTATTGTTTCTCGTATCTAGTAGTGCATTTGAGCCGTCAAGTGGTTTGACTGGATTGTCAATTCTTACCCAAAAAAAAAAAAAAAAAAAAAAAAAAAAAAAATTCTAATTTTCAGTCTGACCTCCTGTTGCTTGTTGTATCAATAGAACTGATTTGTACTCTTTTATTTGTGCAGTGTGAGAAAGAATTTCATGTTGGGTGTTTGAAAAAGCATAAGATGGCAGATTTAAGGGTGCGTTAATAAATTATTCTTATATTTACTGTTCTACTGAATTACATGGTATGAATCCTTTATCCTGTACAATGGACATCAACTCCATTTATTAGATGTAAATACTGATGCCAGTTGCATCACAGGAACTGCCCAAAGGGAAGTGGTTTTGCTGCATAGATTGCAGTCGGATCAATTCTGTTTTGCAGAACTTATTGGTTCATGAAGCTGAGAAGCTCTCTGATTCTGATATGAATGCTGTGAAAAAGAAGCTTTTAGAAAATGGTGTACAGATTGATAGTAATATTGATGTTAGATGGAGGCTTCTAAGTGGAAAAGCTGCTACTCCCGAAACTCGGCTGTTGCTTTCACAAGCTGTTGCAATCTTCCATGTAAGTACTGGCTGTGCTGTATCTAGGAACTGCATTTTTTTTTTTTTTTTTTTTAACCTTTTGGATTTGATAAGACAGTTGCTGGGTGGAATTTAATTTTAAGTATTCCCCAAATTCTCTTTTTAAGAAGGGATTTGAATTTTTATCTTTCTTTGGAACCTAAATTAATTAATTTTTAGACCAATGAAAAAGGTGTTTTCCCGTCAATATAATTGATGAAACAGAAATAGTGCGATTATTCATTAAGCAGGTAACCTCATGCCTCAAAGAGAACTCTTTCTCTGCATTTGCGGTTGAACACCTTTGCCTTCTTTAAGCACCATTGGTAAAAAGGTGTCGGTGGATGGTACTCTGGTTTCTGATACATAACCCACAGTGGGGTATAATCATTTGGTTGCTTCCTTGATCAACAATTCTACATAGATCAACCAATCTACATTTATGGTAGAGTTAGACTTTCAATGGAAGCACTGTTTTCTTCTTTCTAAAGTCCTGGTTGCTTCCTTGATCAACAATTCTACATAGGTCAACCAATCTACATTTATGGTAGAGTTAGATTTTAAATGGAAGCACTGTTTTCTTGTTTCTAAAAGTCCTCATCCTCTGTTTTCTGATTCCTTGTGTTTAGTGGTGATTTTTATGAACCTTATTTTACTATTATTGGAAGATTCCTGAGATTATGAGGTTCTTTGAGGATGAGTAGTCTGCTTGCATGAAACAGCTCTATTGTTTAGTAAAAGAGTTAATGCTTGAGCCCCCCGATGTTTAATTAAATGACAAAAACTCCCCCTTAGGTTTCTGAAATAACAAAAATCTCCTTGCCGTTAGTGAACCGTCAGTGACCTGTTAAATCTTATACTATTATAAGTTAAAATGAATGTTTACCTAATTGCCCTCTTACCTTTATTTTAACACCTAAAACTTACGGTAATGGGGAATTTTGTTATTTCAGAATCCTCAGGGGAGCTTTGTTATTCAATCAAACTCGGAGGGGTTATTGCATTAACCCTTAGTAAAATTCTAGCTTTGTGGGTTTTCCTTGGTTTAATGTGTGGGCTCATGTACATCACTTATTTCAGAAGGAATGAATCACTGAGTCATCCATTTGTGCTATATTAGTATTCTGAGGGAAATTTATCCGCCATAAGACTGGATCGATGACTAATTTAAGCTCCTTGTTTCCCTAAGCAAAATTTGCCTTAAGTCTATTTTGAGTGTCTTTATCAATGAATTTTTTAATTGCAAATAATGATAGTGGTCAATAAGAGTTTTCTTGTTTGTTTTCTTTGGTCTTCTGGTTTTTTTTTTTTTTTTTTTTTTTAATTTAAAAAATGGTAGTTATTTGGCCTTTTGACTATTTCTCTGTATTAGCGAGTGCTTTTCCATAAGATTTGATCACTTCCAACATTGTGTCCCTCAAATATGCTCAGTAAATTTTCACTTGGAAGGAAAGTTGAGTTTGCAGGCCTTCCATATCTTTTTAGAGCTACAATGCTGCAATCAATCACATTGCATTTGCTGAGATTTGAATCGTAGTTAGATCTGTTAAGTAATGCTGAGATTAATAACGTTAGTGGTGACATAACTTAATGTTAATGCTTATGTATATGCATACAAGTTATATGTGGACAAGTTTTATACAGAAGAGGATATACTATATGCATTTTACAGTTGAAGTATTTTTTTTATATATTTGCTTCAGGATTGCTTTGACCCTATAGTTGATTCAATAAGTGGACGAGACCTGATTCCATCGATGGTTTATGGGTAAGCATATGATGGTTTTGTTTTCTGGTCATCTTCTGCCAATCTTTTTTTATCTAGTTAACTTGCTTATCTCTCTCCTTCATGCTGTCTCAGAAGGAATTTAAGGGGCCAAGAATTCGGGGGGATGTATTGTGCGGTCCTGACTGTCAAGTAAGAAACGATCTTCTATTGAACTAGGGGTTTACTCATCTGCAAGAATATTGAGATAGTCTCTTTTGCCAATTTTGCAGTTCATCTGTTGTATCGGCTGGAATACTACGAGTTTTTGGTCAAGAAGTTGCAGAACTTCCTTTAGTTGCAACAAGTAAAATAAATCATGGCAAGGTGAGACTTATGGTTCAAACTTATTATGGTTATTGACCTCTTTAATCAAACTGAGTTTAGGATTTGTAGTCTTAGTCTCCAAGAAGATGCTCTTTCTAAGCTTTTACTTTGATTTGATGGAATATTCTGATGTCATTCATTTTCGTGTTTCAAACTTTTCAAATCTCTGATTATTGGGTCCATGAGTGTTTTGTTATCTGCCTTTTGTTATGGTAACTGTCATATGAAGACTTCATGTTCTGCTCTGTCTTACTGTCATATGAAGACTTCATGTTCTGCTCTGTCTTACTGCTGAATATTTCTGTGTAACATTACGATTTTGGAAATCATGATTTTTGGTAATAATTTATTATTCATCAACTTATATCATAAATACTATTAGTAGAGGAACACGTCAGTTGTGTATAATTTAGATATTTTTTGTATGTGTTTGGGAAACATGGCATTTGTACAGAAGTTTTATTTAACGTCAGATTTGCTTTCTTAGGATTTCAAGTAGTAGTAGTAGTATCTTGAAGATAAAGTAATTTCATTACCCTAGCATAACATTAATCAATCACCGTAACAGGGCTATTTTCAATTATTGTTCACCTGCATCGAGAAGCTGCTGGCATTCTTGCATGTGAAGAGCATTATACTCCCAGCTGCTGAAGAAGCAGAATCCATATGGACTCGTAAATTTGGTTTCCAGTATATAGATCCAGAACAGGTAAGTTATTCTTATATCTACATATTATATTCCTGTTTCTGCACAACGACTTGGCTGACATCAAAATAATGTGGTGGTTCAGCTTAGTATATACAGAAAAAGATGCTCGCAGATGGTGACCTTCAAAGGAACATCCATGCTACAGAAAGCAGTTTCGGCCTGTCGAATTGTTAATAGTAGTACTGAGTCTGCAGAATGCGTTAGTGGAGTTGAAGTGGAATGAAGCCCCAATTTTGGGGTGAAGGGGACTTAATTTCTTTGTAGTTTTTCAAAATGTGTGTATATGAACACTCTAGATATTTGACGTAGTATGTAAATGTAAAGGTTCGTTTCAATTTGCCTATCTAGCATTACCAATTTAGCTGCAGTTGGCTTCAATTCGTATTCTGCATGTAGTTTAACAATTGATTAGCAAAATTTTAGTGACTCAGTTACTATAACTATATGAATAATACCTATATAATATTTGTTTTTTTTATTATGTCTGAAAACATACACTTGCCCATTCTGTGTTATGGTCTATGGATATCTTAATGAAACCATTCACACCTCTATAAAATAGCAAATGTAGATTTAAAGGTAATTTTTTTTGACATTCTTATTCTTACTCTTGGAAAACAAATGAGAATTGGGTTGATGATGGGTGGTTTTGAGGGAGAAATTCAGCTCCGCCGGCTTGTCTAAAATTGGTATCAAAAGAATGATTGCTGATTAATTCAAGTGGAAGTCCTTTAAAATGTAAATTTCTGACAACAAAAAGTGGTAGCTGGTACAGGAATGAACTGAAGAGGGCGGTGCCATGAACGCAATCAAAGTGATCCTAAAAAGCCAGTAGACAAAGTAAGCTAAGAATTGGTTTATCTCTTCCATACGCAATTACCTTCTCCAACCGCCCCATAACTTTCTTCTCAATATAGCCAATTATTATCACAGAACTACCATAATTCCCATTGCTTTCATCATCAACAAAATCTCTTCAGATACAGATGGTTAATTTCCTCCGAGCTCAAACAACATGCACTTCACTGCTTTGCTTTTCATCATGATGTTTCATTTCATTACTCATCTTCCAATATTAAATACTACCCATTTCTCTCCTTTAATGACTCATTCCTTCACCATTACTTAACAGTTGAAGCTGTAATCATCAGCTCACCATTGAGGCCCATACCTTTCTTACCTCCCAAGCCAACCATGTTTCAAAATATAACCATACCGCACTCCCTTAAATCTTTTTTATCTCAAAAATAACACAACCCAACGCTATTAACCATGAGAGTCAAGAACTTCTCCTTTTGGCTTCTTGCCTTTGTCATTTCACTCTTTTCCATCATACTTGCTTTCTATTCCATCCCCCCTTCCTCTACAGATTCTATTTCACCCATTACTCAAAACAACTTTCAACTCTCTATTCTCAAAAGGGTTTTAAAGCAAAGTGGTCTTGAGAATTTCTTACCTCTTCTCACAAGGTTTTTCTCTACAAGGCATCATCATCACCATAGGAGGCACAGGTTCAAATGTGATAAAACTACATGGAAGAATAGGCTCATTTCCCATTTCAAAATGGTCATATATCGTTATAGAGTTTCCCTCATTTTTACTGTTGACACTAAGTGTTGTGCAAATTTCACTAGTGTACAAAAGGCAGTAGATGCAGTTCCAGATTTTAGTCCCTCTAGGACCCTCATTATAATTGATTCTGGTAGTTACAGGTTATTATCTTTGCACAGAACTGAGTTTTCAGATTCACTCAACAATTAATAATCTTTCTTGCTCATTTCATTTTAATCCAAAAAATGGCAGGGAGAAAGTGGTAGTACACGCTAACAAGACAAACTTAATATTTCAAGGTCGGGGTTATCTCAACACAATCATAGCATGGAATGACACTGCTAATTCCACTGGAGGAACTCCTTATAGCGCTTCTGTTGCCATCTTTGCTCCCAATTTCACAGCTTATAATATAAGCTTTCAGGTAATTTCCTCTTGAGAAAAAATATACAATACAACCGAAGTATTACCACTTTCCAATGAATTTATATCACTTGTGAATTTCTTTTTCTCTTATGTTTTAAAATTAATTATAATAGGTAATTTGACATGTGTGTATTGTCTTATCATATCATGATAGTAATACCATTGTGGTATCATAGACTTTCTCCTTGTCCGATATATATATATATATAACGTTTGTCATTATAAAACTTGTGATCTTTATGAGTTGTCTTTCTGATTAATTTTGTTTTGGTGGGATTTATGTTGTGTTGATAAAGAATACAGCGCCGGCGCCATCCCCGGGGGATGTTGGAGGGCAGGCGGTGGCTCTAAGAATAGGAGGAGATCAAGCTGCCTTTTATGGATGTGGATTTTATGGAGCACAAGACACTCTTCATGATGATCGCGGAAGACATTATTTCAAAGACTGTTTCATTCAAGGCTCCATCGATTTCATTTTCGGAAATGGTAGATCCCTCTATCAGGATTGCAGCGTCAGTTCAATAGCGAAGGAAGGGACAGCAGGGGTGAGTGGTTGCATAACAGCTCAAGGGAGAGAATCAGAGGTCGAGGAAACAGGGTTTTCGTTTGTGAATTGTAAAATTGATGGAAGCGGAAGAGTGTGGCTAGGGAGAGCTTGGGGAGTTTATGCAAGTGTTGTTTTTATAAAAACTTATATGACAGAAGCTGTTTCTCCTGATGGATGGAATGATTGGAGAGATCCCTCTAGAGACCAGTCGGTGGTTGATCCTATTGCTATTTGCTCTTGTTTAATTTTGTTATTTTGTATTAATTATATACATGTTTATGTTTGAATATTACAGGACGGTGTTCTTTGGAGAGTACCAGTCTTATGGGCCAGGAGCGAATTTTACGTATAGAGTTTCATACGGAAAGCAGCTTATGGAATATGAAGCAGCTCCATACATGGACATCTCATACATTGATGGGAATGAATGGCTTCACCTTCAAGACATTGTAATGCCTACTCCTGAAGACGATTGGGGCATAACTTTCATTCAGGATTGCTAATTTATATTCAGAAAAATATCAAGTAATTTAAGCTCAAGCCATAAATATCATAAAAATAATGAGGTGGATCAGGGAATCAACTTTATGAAAGTTCTGAGAATAAAATTGTCTTCTTGAAATGAAAACACAGACAGAGACATAGGTAGTAGTTTTTATTCTTCCAATAATTTAGGTGGTAGTACAATTGTTAAAATCATTTCTGGAACTCTAAAACAGTGTAGAAATAATCAACATAGAATGGTTTGAAATTGGGGAAACCTGCAGAGAGACCAAGCTGCTTAAACTGTTGTTCAGTTCTGTGCTTGCCTCCGTAGATCGTCATAACGAAGATGTCTCCTTCCAATAGAGCTCGAGTCCTCTGACTATCATCTGTTTTCTCAGGCAACACCGGTTCACAAGCTATCAGTTTCCCGCCCACAGGCAGTGCTTTAAAACAAGTCTCCATTATCAACTTGCATCTTTCATCTGTCCAGGTTGTCAAAATCCACTGCCCAAATACCACCAAAAGAATTATTATAATAAAATTTAAATTTGGTATCTTTAGATCTAATACCATATTAAGGCCAGATTCAATTGGTATTTAAATGTAATTATGACAATCAACTGACAAAGATTACAGTATTATTTCAGAAGAAATACCGTTTCCAATGGTAAATCAGAAGCTTGGGTTATGTTACATACCCATTTAATAATGGATCTATTGACTATTATCAATCATATAGATAATTTTTATCCTCAACAACCAGACTGAAAATTTTGTCCACCTCGTGATCTTGAGCTGAAAAGGTATGGTGGTAGTGAGATTTGTCTAATGAAAAATCAAACGACACCATATGAATTTGTGGTGTTTTCACAAACTCTGAGGTTGTCTTTTTGTGAGAAATTAAGTCCAGGCCCTACACACTTCACCCATTTGTCAGAAGATCCACCGACCCTCGTGACTCATTCAATTTCAATCATTACATACTACAAAACTCTTAAAATCAAATTCATTACTAAAACAATAAGGGAGTTTGGAAGCGATATAATAGGATTAGGCAATAATCTATTAAGTTAAACTGAATAAAGAATAAGCAGTAGCACACCTTCATGAAGATAGCATCCCCACCAGGAATTGACTTAAACATGTCACCACCAACATGCGTCACACCTATAACCACAAATTACAATATCAAATTATTACTTCAAAGATATATATTTTTCTTTTTCAATCCATGTTAATCTCACCCGGTATACTTGGTGCTTTGGCAACAACCTCAGGCAAATCAAAGTTGATCCCTTCAACAATAGAAGGGTACTTCTGTAAAATCATCCTCAGGCAATCCCCTGTACTCCCACCCACATCTACCAATCGCTTCACACCATCAAACCCATTATAACCATGCAATATAGCCTTCATGAACGGCACAGATATCCCAGACATTGCCTTCAGCATCAATTCGTTCATTTCTGGCTTCTTCCCATAATAACTATACGCTTCCTCACCGTTCGCCTTCACGAATGGCATTGATGTAGAGTCCACTATCATCTCGTGCATCAGTGGCCACGCTCTCATCAGCGCGTCCTGTTCACACTCAAATTCAACATTTTAGTTTTACTACCCAATCCAAATAATAATTTTGGCTCTATGACATTTCGTTGTCGTAAATATTATAAACATATTAAATATATTATAAGATAACCTGGTAGTGTTGGAGGACGTAAGGCGCGTAGGATAGACCTTGAGAATCAGTGGCAAGAGTCTTTCCGGTCTCAGTGAGACTATATTTTCTTTCAGAAGAATCAGCGTCGTTAAGATGCTCAGCAAAGACGCCGTAGCTGCTGAGCACGCGGAGGACGCGTTGTAAGGTTTCAGGATCTCCTGCGCCGGAAGGCGCAATACGTGCGAGAATCTGAGAGGCGGAGAGAGGAGTGTTGGCACCGCCTTGCCAGATTGCATCGGCAACGTTGAGGCGTACGACAGCGTTTAGAGACATAGGAACGCTGATCATGTTGGCGAGTTCAAGTATGGCCAGTCTGGCGTTGTTCCTGCTGTCCGTGGTTTCGTGTTCCATGGTTTGGCGTTTTGTTTAGGGAGCGTTCGGGTTTGGTTAGATAAGAGGAAGAAGGCAATAAGTGGTTGAGTTTGTATGGACAGTCAGCAGTGAGCAGATGTTTATAATGAAATGGATTAAAAATAAGAGCAATGATACGGTTACCGACAGATCTGTACCCAATTTATCCACCGACAGACATGATACCATCGTCCGAATTTTTTTTTTTAAATTCATAGTTAATTGACGGTGCAGATAGCGTCACGTCTGATAATGCATAAATTCGATATACATATTTCGGTAATTGTATCATATTTCTAAAAATAAATAAATAAAAAATTAGAGGAAAAGAATGTTAGGTCTAGTTAATAGCTCTCTAATTCGTATAAATGAAAAATATTTTTATTAATTTTTAAGTATAAGGAATAAATTTTTTATTTAAATTTAAGGAAAATGATATATTTTTTAATTAAAAAACTTAGAAATAAATAATAAATAAAATATATAAAAATTTATAATTTATTATTTAAAATTAAGATACAGACTAAAATTTGACTCTTTAAATATAAAAAATTAAATTTATTCTTTAATTTATATTTAAAAAATAAAAATTCGATTAAACTTTTATTTTTATAATAAAGAATTTTGAGTGATTAAACTTTTGACTCAGGCGCTCAAAACCATTCTTAACCATTTTTTTACCCTATGGGTGAAACTAATCTTCAAAAGATTTGCCGTCCCGTAAAAAAGAGAAGTAATGATTAATCATTTTACATTATTTAACAATATAATACTTGGTCAAGGACCAGTCCCAAGTAGACCCGGGTCTGTCCATTCGGGATTAGTCTTTTGAGGACTGATCCTAAATAGGACTAGTCACTCATGAGTTTGGAGCTGTTCTTAGGCTTATGAGCAATTTTAGGATTCAGACCGGTCCTTAGGACCGATCCTATGAACTTGAAAAATTTCTTTTTTCCCTCTGATATTTTTTTTATATTTTAAGAGCGAAACAAAATTTTTTTTGGGATTTTTAGTATTTTTCGAGGGTAAATTTTATAAATTTTTCAAGGCCTGAATTTTTTTTTTTTTGGTTAAATTTTGTAATTTTTTTTTTAACCCTTATAATTTATGTTTATTTTAAAATTTATAGAGGGTTTTATGTAATTGTATAAGGGACTAAAATGAAAATATTTAAAAAAATTTGGGCCCGAGCTTGGAGGAGGGCCCAGTGGAGGGACCGGGCCCTCCTCCTTAGGCCTGGTCCTGTTTTAGGACTAGGCCTCCTAAGATCGGTCCTCTCAAGGACCGGTCCTAAGACTGGGTTTTTGGGCTAGGTTTTTGACCTAGTCCCAAATGCCCACCTCTAGTTTTATTTTTGAAAAATCGTAATCTCATTCGCCTAATAGTCCTAATGTATTATTTGTGTTGCTTTTGTTGCAGCTATCTTAAAAGATATTATTTTTTTGAGAGTAAAGGACATTTTCCCACCTAAGGTTTGGCAAATCTACAGCTCTCATCCATGGTTTCATAAATTCCAGATTCCTACCTTTAAGTTAATAGAAAATTGTTTAATCTAATAGTTAAAAGGATAAAATGGTCATTTCAAAGATAAAAATTTTAAAATAACCCTTCATTTCTCAAATTCACCCTACTGACGATTTTATCATTCCGGCCTGTTCCCAGTGTAGTCGACCCCTCTTAACACCACCATTATAATCCTCTCAACCCCTACATCAAAACCCTTAATCTCCCCGCTTGATGATTAAACCCTCCAATCACCGGCCGCCGCTTTTAGTTTCAGTCGACGTTTCATCCAAATTTTGGTAGGTCCTGGCACCTCAAACCACCTCAAACACTACCAATAGCATCACTGGCTCCACACCACCCCCCCAAAAGCACCAAAACCCCTAACATTGCCAATCGCAATTGTCTGCCGATCGCCACTGCCTCTCCCTTAGGTTTTCGCATTTTGTCGCGCCTTTCCAGCCAAATTTCGACACCTCGCTGAGGTGCAATCAGGTGGAAAAGTTAAGAGTTTTGATGAGGAGGATAAGGGGATGCTGTTGGTGGTGTCAAGGAGGTCCAATGGTGTCGAAATTAGGCAAGATTTTTGGCTTGGCCAGGATCTCCTCTTGGGGTTATTTGAAGGAAATTTGAGATGTGAGGGTTATTTGAGAGAAAAGTAACGATGTTAATTTAATGGTGAGAATCTGGAATTTATGAAACCAGGGGTGGGAACTTGCAGATTTACCAAACCTTGGGTGAGAAAATGTTGTTTACTCTTTTCTTGATTTATTCTGATATTCAAGTTATAATACTGTAGATTTGTTAAATAAAATTGAAAATACAACGAATTTGTAGGACTTTTTATGACAAATTGCCTCAGGATACAAAAAATGTAGAATACCTTAAGACATTGTATAAAATGTAAAAAGAAAACAAACATATGTTAAATGAGAAAGGTTTGTATGGTTATGTATAAATTATAGAAGCTCCTAATTATACTTGATTTTACAACCTAAATCAAAGGTTGTAAGTATGTACCTATTCAACTCCTCTTAAAAATTTCTCTATATAAAATATATAATATTAGAATCTTTTTTTTTTTTTAATATTTTTATATCCATTTATATAACATATTGAACCACAAAAGTGCAACAATATGACTCGGTAACATAAATTTATATATTTTAAGAGTAAATGACACGTTCCCACCTAAGGCTAAAGTTTAGTAAAATGGCAAGTTTTTACCCTTGGTTTCATACATTCCAGATTCTTACCCTTAAATCAACACCGTTAGTGATTTTTGGATTCTGGCACGATATAGAGTGTATTATTACCAAACCGCTCTTGACAAATAAATTAATTAATTACTTTTTAACCCGAAAATTAGTAGAATTAGAAATAACCATCTTACTTTTAAATCTATTTCAATAATACCTTCTTCTTTGCGGCCACCTGTGACCTCCTCCACTGCACAATTGTCATTTTCAGGCCAAATTGGCATGATTCCGGCATCGTTGGAATGTCTCGACACCACCATACACATCCCCTCACCTCTCCCATTAAAATCCCTATCATCTCCACCCCTCTACACCACCAAATCGTCGGTGCCGCTCAATGCGGAATTGCACACTTCTTGCCAATTTTCGGCTAGTTTAGGCCACGAAAACCTACTGTGACACCACCTTTTGATCCATTGGCGACCCCTCTCTAAAACCCCTACCACCCCAAGCTATGATTGCCTACTGGTAACCGGTGCGCGACAATTGAAATTGAGTTTTAAATTGAAGTTTGTTTTGTAGCTTGGTTGAAGGGAAATTGATTGTTTATGGAAGTGTTTCTTCTTATTGATTGATTGTAGCTTTTTCTAGCTGTTTTCCCCATCGTCAGCCACCAGAACCACTTGCCTTTGGACCACGCTCACCACCTGCTAAACCCTTTGGCCCAACCAACACCCAGGCACATCTCCCCCCTGTGCGCTGCTCCCATGTGCAAGCAACACTACGCCCACAAGCCCGTGAAACTGCTAAAATCTAGCCACAGTGAAGGCCAAGAAGCAACCATTTGGCTGTTGCTTTTAGCCCATGCAAAAGCCAAACCTAGCCACCATGAGAGAAATTTTAGAGAGAGAGTGCTTGTGAGAGAAATTTTAGATGTGGAAGGTTATTTTAAATTTTTTATTTCATTTCAGATTTAATGCAGTGCAAATGACCACTTTACTTTTTGACCGTTACATTAAACAATTTTCTATTAATTTAAGGATAGGAATATGAAATTTACAAAACAAGGGGTGTGAACTGGCCATTTAGCTAAACCTTGGGTGGGAACACGTTTACTCTAATTTTAATAAGACAAGCACGAGCTCATAATGCTAGAAATGTGTTTAAAGTTTTTCTTTTGCTCTACATTGCACAAAATTAGCAAATTATGTGATGGTATTTTAATCCTAATACTTACTCCATTCGACTCATAATAAAAGTGTCTATTACAGCAATAAGTTATTTAAAATGTTACAGAATGAACCTATAGGAGGAACAAAAAATATTCAAGCAATTTGAATAGCAACAACAGGATGGTATGTTAAGAAAGCCTTCATTTGACTATCGTATCTATTACATGATTGTCTAATTGACAAACAAACAATCTGATCTTTTTTTCTTTGGCCACGAAAGAATCTGATCATAAATACTTTTCTGTCTTTAGAAAATTGTACAGTGGCATTTTACTACAAGAATTATGGATCAAAACATATATACACATTCACAGCTTACCTTGAAGAAGAAGATGAAAGAACAGCGTTTTTAGGTTGCCTTTGAGTTACTCTCATGTACAAACCCTGCAACAGCAATCTATTAGCACTGACTCATTTTGGAAGTTAACATCTGATTCAGGTTTTTGTTTTAAAACTACATTCATTCTTTATTGCCTATGATTTCTTGGAAAACATATTTAGCATTACGATACACTTGAAACACATTTTACATGGAGACGATACATAGTTTTTCACTTTTGATTTATATGGCGCAGAAACTGTTTAAGTAAAAACTAAATGAACATAACCCCTTTTTTCTCTTGATGAAACTGACAAAGCAGCTAAGTATAAAAATGCTGGGGATCAAAATTATAAATCTTCTAAGGTGATGAATGTGTATGTGCTATGTCTAAATCAAACAGGTACTACATCTTACATTCGTGGTGTGTATTGTTGCTCCAGTAGTCATGTTGATGTTCTGATCAGGAACTAGTTCAAAGTTCATTTTCTGCAAGAAAATTGTGAGAGCAACAATAGCCTCCAGCAAAGCAAACTGATCTCCCACACACTTTCGTGGCCCTCCACTGAAAGGAATGAATCTGCAGTAGAGGTTTTTCCCAAGTTAGTCATATCCAACTCATAATATGTAGGTAGTAGCAAAAGAATTATGTCAGCAATTTTAGGTCCAAAATAGACCCGTATTACCATGAATTGAGCACTAAAAAAGGGCAAAAAACTGATGAATTTCAGAAGGAACAAGTACCTAAAATCTGTATTTGTTTCATTAGGCATCGGGCCTTCCAAGTCAAATCTTTCCGGCAAAAATTCTTCCGCTCTCTCCCAGACCTTGTTATT